GTGGGACTGCAAACTAGTCCAACCTCTGTGGAAAGCAATATGGAAATAACTTAAAGCGATACAAGTAGATCTACCATTTGATCCAGCAATCCCACTACTGGGCATCTACACAAAAGATCAAATGACACTACAAAAGGGACACCTGCACTTGAATGTTTATAGCAGCAAAGTTTACAATTGCAAAGCTGTGGAAACAACCCAGTTGCCCATCAATACATGAGTGGATTAATAAAATGTGGTATATGTATACCATAGAGTACTATTCAGCCCTAAGAAACAATGGTGATATAGCACCTCTTGTATATTCCTGGATAGAGCTGGAACCCATTCTACTAAGTGAAATATCTCGAGAATGGGAAAACAAGCACCACACATACTCACCAGCAAATTGGTATTAACAGATCAGCACCTAAGTAGACATATAGGAATAACATTTATCGGGTGTCGGGCGGGTGGGATGGGGGAGGAGGAGATGGGTATATACAAACACAAAGAGTGAGATGTTCAGGGTCTGGAGGATGGTCATGCTTGAAGCTCTGACTCGAGGAGGGAGGGGGGCATGGGCAATATACGTAACCTTAAAATTTGTACCCCCATAATATGTTGAAATAAAAAAAAAGTATAGGGAGTGCTTCCCAGAGATCTTCAAGAGAGCCTCTGAGCACCTGGAGCTAGTCTTTGGCCTTGACCTGAAAGAAGTCAACTCTGACGGTCACTCCTACACCCTTGTCAGCAAGCTAGACCTCAATGATGATGGAAGTCTGAGCAGTGCTGGGGCCTTCCCAAGAATGAGCTTTTGATGCCTCTCCTGGGTGTGATCTTCTTAAATGGCAACTGTGCCACTGAGGAAGAGATCTGGGAGTTCCTGAATATTTTGGGGATCTATGATAAGAAGAGGCACTTCATCTTTGGGGAGCCCCGAAAGGTCATCACCCAAGATCTGGTGCAGGAAAAGTGTATGGAGTACCAGCAGGTGCCCAAAATTATCCTTAATCCTCCATGCTATCTGTTCCTGTGGGGTCCCAGAGCCCATGTAGAAACCAGAAAGATGAAAGTCCTGGAGTTTTTGGCCAAGATCAATGATACCATCCCCAGTGCCTTCCCAGCCCAGTATGAAGAGGCTTTGAGAGATGAGGAACACAGAACCCGAGTCAGAGTTGCAGCCAGGCCTGGCACTTCTGCCACAGCTAGGGCAGATTCCAGTGTCATGTCCAGCAGCCTCTCCTATTCCTATTAAAATCTGAGGCATGTTTTTCACCTTTGATTAAAATAAAAAAAGTTAACCTTGTAATTAGTAGAGGGCCAAAGTGGGTCTAGTGGGATCACTGTGTATAATGTTCTTGTGTTCCTGCACAGTGTGTGTAAGTTGGAGATATATCTGTTCTTTTTCCTAATTTAAAATGTTCTTTCTTTTAATTAAAAGTTTATTTAGCTTCAGAATCTAAGCTTTTGGATGGCACAGGTCACACATTTATTGAAGTATATCAGATTGAAAAGTGAGAATTTGGATATTATGTAAAACAATTTGAAAATTCTTGAATTTTTTCTTATGATCCAGAACAAAATAATATGGCATTGGAATATAAATTATGTGAAAAAGAAAATGACCCCACAATAAAGTTGATGGGATCATGAGGTAGAGAAGAGAAAGTAAAAGGTGATCAATTCTTGGTTTGTTTTATTCCTTTTAGACTTTCTTTGTAAAATTGAGGCATAGGGTACCTAGATTGGCTTAGATTTTTAAGGAATGTAGGAGAAATTAAATAGCAATAAATTTGACTTCTTGCATATCAGCACTTTAATTGCCCAAATATTAATTAAGCAGCTGTTCTTTAGAAAGCTCCTGGCAAGTACTGTAGAAGCTAAGAAAAATAAACCCAACCCTTGCCCATAGAATTTTAGAATCTAAGAGTAGCTATCATATAAAGAAGGTCATGAGATACTCCCTAAGATCTAAAGACAAGTAAAAAGAGGGGATAAGAGGGGGTGGTGGTTCCAGATGAGGTATCTAGTATAAGTATCCTTAGGCAAGATAATTTGAGAATTTGGGAAACTGAATATCCTGTCCAGGGAAGTAATGTTAAGTTAGCTGTGTGGAGGTTAGATCAGGCTGTGGGAGTGCTGAGCACGGGTTGGACACTCAGATGGTGGGTCTCAGAGTTGGGAGAACAAGCCTGAAATGGAAAATTACCCTTAATAGTTACTTTGGAATTGCAGAAAAACCAAATAGAATCTCCACCTGCGGCAGGGATAGAAAGTGTCCTGTGCTCTTGCCCCAGTGCAGGTGAACCCAGGACACAAACCAGGTATTTTATGCACATGTCTCCAGGAGTTTTCTGAAAAATAAGAGCAATACCCTTTTGAGATTGGAAACTCAGAAGCCACTGGGCTGGTACTCTGGCTGGGGAGCCAGAACCCATTCCATTAGAAGGGCATTCGAATTTTTTTTTTTTATGTGTTTTGGCAAACTCTAAGGGAGCTCTGGATTTGGGGTGGTGGTGAAATTAATGAAAATAGGAGTGGTTTGGATAAAAGGCCAGAATTGGTTTTTAAACCAAATCCTAGGAGATTTGAGTTGCATTCAGCTGGGAAAGACACCTCTACACTCAAAACATGATTTAATAGAGAAGATTTACTTTGAGTTTCTTTGTAAGCAGCATTTTGGGCTGATTTGTTGTTTCATGTCTTAGATTGCTGTATATTCACTTTATCCCCTGGATTAAAAAACATCAGCAGAGTACATGGTACCTTCTGTGGTCAAAATAATCATAATAATAACAAGCAGTGTTTAAAGTCTCCATACACTCCAGGTACTGTGCCAGGTGCTTTACATATTAACTACATTCCACCAGACCTACAAGAAAGGCTTATCAAACCCACTTCACAGATGCATGGCCTGAGGCTCATACAGTTTGGTAATGTGCCCAAGTTCACAAAGCTAGTAAGTGATGGAGTTGGGACTAGATCCCGGATCTGAATAACTAACTCTAGAGCCCACATTGTTCTGCTCCTCATAAACTGAGACTGACCATGAGTTGCTTAAATCACTTTCTTCTACTATCCCAAAGTGTATTTTAACTGATAAAAAGAAGGATCCTGGACCCCAAACACCAGATTGGAATACATAACCAGAGCAATAAGAATACCAAAATAGGCCGGGTGCGGTGGCTCACACCTGTAATCCTAGCACTCTGGGAGTCCGAGGCGGGCAGATTGCTCGAGGTTAGGAGTTCAAAACCAGCCTGAGCAAGAGTGAGACCCCGTCTCTACTATAAATAGAAAGAAATTAATTGGCCAACTAAAAATATATAGAAAAAATTAGCCAGGCATGGTGGCGCATGCCTGTAGTCCCAGCTACTAGGGAAGCTGAGGCAGTAGGATCGCTTGAGCCCAGGAGTTTGAGGTTGCTGTGAGCTAGGCTGATGCCACGGCACTCACTGTAGCCTGGGCAACAAAGTGAGACTCTGTCTCAAAAAAAAAAAAAAGAGTACCAAAATAATTGACCGGTATGAATTAAAGAAAGAACCAGTACTCTGTGACAATATGATCATCTACATAAGCAAAATCAGATAGCCTCACAAGATGAAGAGCCCACAGAATCATGTGTCTCTACCCTCTTCTGTAGAAAGTAAACCTTTTAGAATTACCCTTTGCCTGGTTGGTAATATGAAGGAATAGATCAGTGTGTTTTTTTCTCTGACAGCGCAATATCTGTCCTAAGTACTTCACCTCATGTTGCAGTTTCCCAACATCACATCACCCCTAGGACAGGGACCCCTTCTATGCAAAGTTTGCAGAAAGGAAACTGGTCACGTTTTTCAGGGATGTGGAGTTTCTCTGGAAGCCTTTGATCAAGAGACAGAAGCCAAGTTGAGGACCCCCATGAATGAGGACTGAGGAGACAAACACTCCAATATATAGGGGTCATCTAGAACCTTAAACCTCAGTTCAGTAAATGGAGGCTTCCCAGGTTTGCCTCTGATCGATGCAAAGACAAGGACAATAAATAAAGACATATGGAAGCACCCAGCCAGAACTGTGGGGTCTTATGGAGTCATGTGTTTGCTATCTGTTCTTGCAGGTGCTGAAAGGACTGTGATCCTATAAGGACCACCCTGAATTCCAACTTGGAATTTTCAGGAAGTCAGGACCTTCATGTGAGAAGAGCAGGTTCAGATAAACAGAAGGTGGAGTTACAGGACTGCTCACTTGTCAAGGTGACGACCTAAAAGTGGACTAAGTGTAGTACCTACACCATAAAGGAGGCCCCACAAAGTCCCCTCTTCTGTTGGCTCTAGTTTTGAAGCCTCAGGCAGAGATGTAAGGTTGATTTCTGCCTGGAAAGTGTAGGGGAGATGAGGGCCTTGGTGTAATGGGAGCAGCCTCAGTTTTGCGGAGGGAAGAGACGGAGACACTAAGAATCAATGTGAAGACTCTAAGTGTTATTCATATGATGGGACTCCATCATCAAAGGAGGACCGCACAGAACCCATCCCCTGTAAGCACCAGAGCTACAAGGCTAAGATGCCTCTCATTTCTACCTGGAAGGTCTTAGGAAGTGAAGCACAAAGGCCTAATGGGTATGGCTTCAGGTCTGCAGGGAGAGGAGTCTTGACAAAACCAGAGTCCTGGTGAGGATCCTGAGTGCTGATGAGAGGACCTAACAGAGCCCCACCCCTGCGGTCAAGGCTGAGGGGCTCGGGCGGGGCAGCCATGTGTGGCGGGCGGAGATTCCCTGCGTAGGACTGACAGAGCTGAGGGTTTTGTTTGGAGGCTGGTGGACTCGGGTCAGTAGGGTGAGGAGTCCAAGCTCTGCTGGATATCAAGGTAAGGACCCTGAGTGAGGACTTAGGGACCACCGACTCCAAAACAGTGGGGTCCCCACAGCGTCCCATCCCCCACAGCGTCCCGTCCCCCACAGCGTCTGGCCCGCGCTATCCACGCTCTAAGACCCCCGGTGGCCGCGGCCGGATGTGGCCAACCTCACTTCCGCTGTGAAGACTAGAACCGCTTCGTGAGGAGAAGCGGCGTCCGGTGAGCTGAGGGTGAATTCCCAGGACTGATCTGTAGTGAAGGTGAGGCCCCCAAGTGTGAACTGAGGGGACCATCCCTCACCCCTAACTAAGGGGCTCCACTAAGTCCTGCCCTGCACCTGGCTCTGAGAAGCACCGTGCCAAAGCTATAATACTGAGGAACAGCATTTTCATCTGGCGGGCCTAAGGGGGAGGAGGGCTTTTGTCTAAAGAGGACAGTCCCATTCACAGGGGGAGGAGTCTTGGTCTTAAAAGGAGTAAATTTAGTGCCCTCAGTGCTGATGAGTGAATGTTTCCTCAGATAGAGTGCCACACAGAGCAGTGTCCCTACTTTCAGATCTGGGAGCCCCCAGGCAAGGTAACCAGATGCGGAGTATCCCGATTGCCTCTTTTGTGCCTCAGGGAGATGAAGCCTTTGGTCTGAGGCTTGTGGACCTCAGGTCGGTAGAGGGACGAGTCCTAAATCCTACTAGGAGTCAAGGCTAAAAGCTCTGTGTGAAAGGAGAAGACCCTTGAACCCAGAGGGAGTCCACACTGCCAGCCCTGCTGTCACCCAGTCAGTCCCAGGCAGTGTGGAAAAGCTTTAGCCTCAGGTATGCTATAACTTCCTCCACTGGCTTCCCAGAAGATGGGGACTCATTAAAAAACAGCCCAGTGGGTTCTTAGAGTGGTGCTCTCAAAGAAACCCACAGAGGTGGCTTTCTAAATGCCAAGGTGGGCTCTCCCTGCTGAAGGTGCTCACAGGATCCCATTCTCCCTCCTCCAGGTACACCAACCACCTACTCTCCTGCCCACACTTCCACCTGCTGTCCCCAGCCAAAGCCATCATGCCTCGTGGTCAGAAGAGTAAGCTGCGTGCCCGTGAGAAACGCCGCAAGGCCCGAGGTGAGACCCAGGGTCTCGATGATGCTCAGGCCACTGCAGCAGAGAAAGGAGAGTCACCCTCCACTTCCTCTCCTGTTTTGGGGAATACTGCCTCCAGCTCCTCTGCTGCTGGCAGTTCCCAGAAACCTCAGAGAGCTCCACCCACCTCTGCTGCTGCTGCTGCAGGTGCTTCATGCACAACATCTGATAGAGGTGCCAAGAGCCAAGGTCAGGAAAATGCAGGTTCCTCTGAGGCTTCATCCTCCACTGAGGGCTCACATGATGATGCTTTAACCAGAAAGGTGGGAATGTTAATGCACTTCCTACTGGAGAAGTATAAAAAGAAAGAGCCCATTAAGAAGGCAGAAATGCTGAAGGCTGTCAACAAGAGGTACAAGAAGCACTTTCCTGAGATCCTCAAGAGAGCCTCTGAGCGCCTGGAGCTGGTCTTTGGCCTTGACCTAAAGGAAGTCAACCCCAACGGTCAGTGCTACACCCTTGTCAGCAAGCTAGACCTCAACGATGATGGAAGTCTGTGCGATGACTGGGAATTTCCCAAGAATGGGCTTTTGATGCCTCTTCTGGCTGTGATCTTCTTAAATGGCAACTCTGCCACTGAGGAAGAGATCTGGGAATTCCTTAATGTTTTGGGGGTCTATGATGGGAAGACGCACTTAATCTTTGGGGAGCCCCGAAAGCTCATCACCCAAGAGCTGGTGCAGGATAAATATCTGGTGTATCAGCAGGTGGCTAACAGTGATCCTCCATGCTATGAATTCCTGTGGGGTCCCAGAGCCCATGCTGAAACCAGCAAGATGAAAGTCCTAGAGTTTTTGGCCAAGGTCAATGATACCATCCCCAGTGCCTTCCCATTCCATTATGAGGAGGCTTTGAGAGATGAGGAAGAGAGAGCCCGAGGCAGAGCTGCAGCCAGGCCTGGCACTTCTGCAGGGGCTAGTGCACATCCTAGGGCTACAGCCAGCAGCTCCTCCCACCCCTAGTCATGTCTAAGACAGCTTCTCTGCTTTGTTTTTGAGGCTAGCTGCCAAACTTTTATATAGTGAAAGTTTGAGATGGGGCTGGAAAGCACATACTATATATCTTCTTTGTGTTTTTGTTGTACATGAGTATCTTTCAAATGTTCTCTTTTTAATAGAATGCTTATTTAGATTCAGAATCTATGTTTATGAATGACATGGATCATACATTTATTGCTGTTATCAGATTTAAGAGTAAGAGTGTCAGTATTCTGTGATACATTTTAAAAATCTTTGAATCTTTTAGGGTTCAAGAACAAGAAAACATGGCTCTGGCATGGGGATTTTCTTGGAAATGTGTGTAAGACCCTTGCAAAACATAATTGAGGTGTTAAAATAGAGGAAAAGAAAGCAAAACATAGTCAACTTTTGGTTTGCCTCATTTACTTTTGTCTTTCTTTTTGTAAAATTCAATGATATATATGTGGTTTTCCTTAACCTATTTAAGAATGCAATAACATTAAATAGCAATAAATTATATTCCTTGCTCAGTGGCTCATTTATTCCTATCATTAACTGAGTATCTGTTCTTTGGAAGGCTCTGTGCTAGTAGTGATGGTGCTAAGATAAAGAAGACCCCCTTTCCCTGTCCATAGATTTTTAGAGTCTAAGGGTAGTTATTATAAAGCAAGATGGTGTGATACACTCTAACACAGGCATCCTCAAACTACGGCCCACAGGCCACATGCTGCCCACTAAGGACATTTATCCAGCCCGCCAGGTGTTTTTGCCATTGCTACCTGTCCTGCTTAGCAGCCGATTCGTCCTGGGCCCACAGTGCACACTCTCCAACGATCTGAGGGACAGTGAACTGGCCCCCTGTTTAAAAAGTTTGAGGACCCCTGCTCTAACATGTACAGAACAAGTAATAAGAAAGGAGTTAGGCTGCTGGGAGGAGGTCCAGGTGAGAAAAGTCAAGTGTAAATTCCCTGAGCCAAGCCACTTTGTGATGTAGGACACGTAAATCCCTTATTGCAAGGTCATTTTAAGTTAGCGCCATGGTGGGGTAGGTGAGGTTGTGATCATCCTGAGCAGGTATCAAACCTTCAGATGGCAAGTCTTATAGTTGAGAGACTAAGTCTGGAATGGAAAACCGTCCTTAACTTTGGGATCATGAGTAAAGCAGAGGGGATTTCTACCTGGAGAAGCAATGGAAGAATACAGCACTCTTGTCCCAGTGCAGTTGAGCACAGTACGCACACTAAATTTTTTATGCATATTGTCTCCAGAGAGTTTCTGAGACATAAGGATGATACTCCCTTGAGGTGAGATGCCAAGAAGCCACTGGGGTGGCACTCTTTGCCCTCACCTGGTAGAGCCATGAGCCTGTTCCACTAATTAGGCTACTTTGTTTATGTTGGCAAAACTCCACAATAAGGCTGGATTTTGTTGGTAGTGAAATAAGTGAAAATAACGATGCTTTTCTTGGGAAGGCTTCTGAGATGGAGGGGAATTGTTAGTTCTTGATGTGAATTCTACAAGCTTTGGGTTAAATTCTGGTGAAGTCCCTGCCCACAGATTAAATAACATATTCTCTAGTGGGGAAAATTTACTTAGCAGCATTTTAGCTTATTTGGTTTTCTTTGTCCTAGAGCATTGCATGTTCTCTTACATCTCTTGGAAAAAACCAAAAAATTCCCAGAGATGAGAGTTGTGTCTTCTGGTGTGAATGTAATCATAGTAATAACTGCCATTCATTAAAGAACCAGTATTTACCAGTCACTTGACCAGGTGCTTTACATATATTACATATGTTTCAAGAGTCCTACAAGATGGAGCTTATCAAACTCACTTGGTAGATGAAAAACTTGCAGTATTCTCAAGCTCACATGGGTGGTAAGTGACAGGGCTGGGACTAGCCTCCTGATCTGAATTCCTCTAGCACCCACACTGTTCTACCCTCTTAACCTGAGGCCAACCTCTGTCTCCTAATTGTTCTCACTACTCCACAATTTCTCTCAAGTGATAAGAAGTACCTTGTGGCCAAAACACTAAAAGCAGGTCTAAAGAAGGAAGGTAAAAATGAGAATCAAACTCAATTTGGGACTGTCTGTGGGGTTCCTTGGCCTGGGGTCCTCCTGTCTCTAGCACCAGATTCCTCCAGACCTGACACTACTGCCCTGGTCCCTGCACATGGGTCCTGTCCCAGCACCTTCCCACATCACAGGGCCCTTCTGAGTCTTCCCCAGTGCATCTTCCTGTGCAAACTGGAACTGACCTGCTGGCCCACTCATCACTGTGTCCTTCTCTAGAGCCTGCAGCTGCTCCTGGAGTAACAGACAGCCCAGGCTCACCTGCCTTCTCCCTGACATAGAGGGTTCCAGCTGCCTGGAGTTCCTGTCCCTCACTGTGGGCTCCCTCTGTCAGCAACAGCCCCTTCTGTGTAATTGTTCACTTCAGATAGTGAACTTTAGACACCTATTGGTTGCCTACACCATACTGTCAAAGTGTTTTCAAATCTGCTGGTGAGTAGAGTTTGACTTGGCAGAGAATCTAGTGATTCTTAGTTTATAATCCTGAGGCTGGAGTGAAGGTTTTTTAAAACCATACTGATATTGACAGTTGGATTTTAATGAAGTTTTTTATTTGAGACTGGCCACTGAACACATAGACCAAGGAGTGAGCATACCTAGGTGGTCAACAACCAAAGCCTCCCTCCTAAGAGGTAGATGAAGAAGGACAGAGGAAATCATTGCGTAAGCTAACATTTACTGAGGCTGAATCCCTAAAAATCCTTCTTGGAGTCCCTCTCAGACATTGAAAATGATTCCTTAGCAGACATGCTAGCTTTGAATAAAAAGGAAAAAAATAATTTACTATCCTTCCATTACTCTTGTCTGTACCTGGCCCAGAGGAAAATGCTGTTTTTTTTTTTTTTTTCAGTGTGCTTAATTGCACCCGTCCAGGTGTTCAGATGGTGTGTGGCTATGATTTTGACCATGCACCAAAAAATAGGAGAAAATTCTCAGCCTACTGAAATTATGCAAGTTTATTGTAAGGGGTCATGCAAATAGGTGTTATTGAGTAACAAAGGTTGAACCGTCCTTGTAGAGATTTATAGGGTCATTTTAAAAATTAGCTATGACCCTGTGTTTCAAAACATCTGTCGCATATTAAGCACTAGAAAAATTTGGCAAATTTCAAGGCAAATTTGGCCTTCTTAGAAACTCATCCAAGAAATGAAGAGGTTTGTTGTCCTAACAAATTGTAATAGTTGCCCTTTACCTACACCTACTATATAACAGTTTTTCTAGAGAGGGGCAAGTGCTCATCCACATGATGCCTTGCTCTCCTTCCTGGGCTCATGGGGAGACTACATTCCCAATCTGCTAATTTACTTGTAGTTAGGAAGGATCATGTAGCTAACTATTGCCACTGAAATATTAATATTAATACAATCATGTTTGTCACTTCCAAGCCAAGGCACATGAGAGCCAGACTGCCTCCTCCATTTAGCAGCAAACACTGGGAGCCCATGTTGAGGTCAGGAGCCACTTGATGGAAGCAGATTGGATCCCTGGGTCACTCGACAGCAGAGAACTTCTCCCAACCCACATCAGATTTTATGTGCACAAAAAATAAACTTTTGTTGTGCTAAGCCATTAAGACTTCAGATTTTTTTCTGTTACTTCAGTTAGAAGTTACTTTATCTGGGTAATACACAACTATTATTACTATTGTTAGGCCTATTGAGATATTTTAATGACAAAATTTTAATAGTAGTATATATATTCTTGTTGTAAAAAACTTTAATACTGGTAAATCACAATTACCCCCTCCCAACATTTCTCCAAAATCCAGCCCTTTTTTCAAAAGTAACCACAATTAACAACCTGGCATGTGTCATATTAAAGCTGATTCAAGGCTTTTTTATACATAGATATTCCATAAGAATATACTGAGTTTCTAATACACATGAGTAACAATGTACATATTGTTTTGCCACTTGCTCTTGTCATTAGTGAAGTGAATGCAGGATCTTTCCATAACAGCACATATAGATCCACCTCATTTTTAAACCACTTCCCACAATTCTTAACCATTCTCCTCCTGATAGATTTATAAGTTGTTTTGCACTTGTTATTATAATCAACAGAACTGAAGTTAACACCTTTAAACATGAGTTTTTGGGTAAATGTGCATGGTTTCTTATAGGAAAGACATAGCAAAGCAGAAATTGGGTTAAAATAGCAAAAGTATGATTGTAATTTTTTATAAATATTGCTAAAATTCATCACAAAATGTTCTACCAATTCCTATTACCACAAATTAAAGTATGTAGATACCCTGAACCCTCATAGCCATATTATTTTACCAATTTTAAATTTTGATTAAACTTTCAGGTGAAAATATTATCTCACTGTTATTGTAATTTGTGTTTCCTTGTTTTCTAATTAGGCTGAGCAGAAAACTAACTTGATCTCTTGCCTTTATAAAGCAAGATTTCTGTAGCAATGTCTTCAATACCATAATTACTTTGGGCATTCCTTGAAATTCCGAAATGTTGGTAAAACATATCCCTTTACTTTCAGAGGCAAGGATTTAGTCAGAATGACCAGGTGGCAGGAAATGGTTCCAGACAGGACACTTTCAGTTACTGAGGAGCATCAGGAGGATTTGAGGAAGAGGGAAAGCAATTTCCAAAGTCTGTAAGAGAGACCACATGCTAAATCTAGTTCACAGAGCCCAGGGCAGCTGGCAGTAAAGGTCCTGGATCTAGAGTTCAGCATAAGGTAGAGAAGTAACAGAAGGAGAGAAGGTAGACAATCTCGTGGAGGGCCTGGACAACTTACATGAATTGCTTTGGGAGATCTCGGAATAATTGTTACCAGCCTGAAGTTGTAGGGTGATTTGAATGAGCAGAACTATTGAATGAAATGATCAGAGATATACCAGACATCCCACACTGCCTTAGAATTCTCCTCAACCTACTGTCAGGAAGAGTAGAGCTAACTCCCCTCTGTCACCCAGTAATGCTACCGATGGCTCCTAGGAAATGTGTAAGTCTTGACTGTCCAATACCTCCTTTCCATGGTACCAGAGCTGACAGCTGTCTTGGTGCCTGCTTGAGACTGGTATGTCTTCTCCTATGGACAGGGGACTCTTCCCACTGAGGTTGAGTCTATGTGAATGTGTGGGGTTAGTGAGTGATGACAGACATTCACTAGTAATGTGACAAAGTTGTGATGGGCCAGGAGTATCAATGACCAGTGCAAGGGGGAGTGCAGCTGCAAGTAAGGGGGACCTAAAGAGGAGATAAGCTGATGCTGTTTACTTCAGTGACTCTACAGAGGCTAGGGGTGAACATGTCTTCTAAAACAATCCAGATGATATCTTCAGCTCTGACTGCCTCCCATAGTCCCTGAATTCTTGGCATACCTGAGAGTGGCTGCCCGCTGGCTGTATTAGCCATCCTATGTTGCCACCAGATACTGCCTGGGG